AAAGTGGCCCTCCTACACCCCCACCTACACCCCCACCTAGGAAATAATTCGGCCGTAATCCCTCCTCCTCCATCTCTCCCTCTTTTCAGAATTTTGAGCACACATGCTGCGTCTTGCGTGTTTCAAGCCTCTGGGTCCAGGGCTCAAGTTGTGCTGTTGGCCACATAGGATCCAGCTGCCTTAAACACCAGGCCACAGGCTAACTCCAGATTTGTTTTTAAAAGTCAGTTTGTTGCATTCCAAGAGACTTATATTTTCCTCTTTCAACTGTTCATCCCTGACAATTAAAGCATGATATGTTGCTAATATAATTTTCTCAAAAGGATGTACCAGTTCAATTAAATATAATACCAACAAACCCCCAGCTTTTTGTACTTGGGGAATTGTGTAAGGGAACCTAGGGAATATGGTAACTAGTAAACTACTTTGCTCTTGGGGTTTTAAAATCGCCTTTCTAGTAATTTAATTCTTCTGGATATACCTACACTGTCAGTATTCTTGGAGCTGACCTACATTAGCTCTTCTTATCTGCACAAATAATTTGTGACAATAAAATAATCATGCACATATTTATCATATGATTTGAAAGCAAAGTCACATTCCTAATCTATCTTCTCAACATCTCTTTCAGCCTGCTTTTGAGGTTCACGGATGATACTTTTGATCCTGAACTTGCAGCAACAATAGGTAAGCAACTTGCAGCAACAATAGGTAAGCCTACGTGTAAAAATTCAGTAGAAATATATTTTCTACATAGGGCTGATTTATCTAAATTCTCAGTCCCTATCCCATAACATCACTCCAGTGTTCCTGTGTCTGTTAAAGTCTTAATTCATCTTTTCTGATGTCATTAAATTTCTGAAACCTTTCTAGATGTCACCAAGCAAAAATAACTTTCCTATGTGTTATCTCATGGCACTTTATTCTTATGCTGATATTATGATTATCTGTCTGTACACACATGTCTTTCCTGTACTGCGAATTATCTTTCATTTTGCAGTGTGCAACAGTTATTTGAGCATTTGTTGTGTGCTAGTCACTGTCCTAAGTGGTGGGATCATACTCCTAAATAATACAAACTTGTTATCATCATGGACATCACAGTTAAGTGGGCTAATTTTGCATTTTGATATTTGCTACAGTACTGGCATGTATTCTGAACTACATGTTTAGTAATATTAGTTATTAAAGATTGTTAAGAGCAGTGATGCCGAATTGCCTTCTTAAATGGAATTTATATTGCCTGAAAGTGCTTTGTCACACTGGCTTACTAAAATGTGTGAGAAGATAGAGGTAAATATTTTGGTGTCACATGCTTAGGGCATAGACAACAATGAAAAGGTATTAAGAGATAGATTAGAATAATTGAAAGAGGGGCCAGCAAGTGGCATGGTGGTTAAGGTGCTAGCTGACTGTGTGGTTCGAGTCCTGGACCTGGTGTCTTAAAAACACACAGGAGTGTGTGCATTTGTTCCCAAAATCCCCTGTGTGGTATGGTCACATACACAGGGAGAAAGCATCATCTGCGGGGTATGGTCACGCTGCAATCCCTTCTTTTCCAGTTTCTCTATCGTATCAGGATTTTGGGCATGTATGCACATGTACCTGGTGTGTGTTTCAAGCCATCAAAACCAGGACTTGAACTGTGGTTGTCCTTGAGAGATCGACTTTCCTTAACTGCTAGGCTACGGGGCCCACCAAGTAGAATATCTTTAATGTCTAAATGTTTTAATGTATGTTTCCTAAATGAATGGGATGATTCTTCTGTCTACAGATAGATTAAAACAGATACACCATTACTAGTGCAAAAGAAAAATAATTATTTCTGTTCTAGAATCACAAACTGAATTAAGTCATCATTTTTGCTCAGAATCCTTCAATGTGAATAGTTCTTTAGTCTTTCTGTGGCTTTAGCATTTCTGAAGAGAGGCTAGTTATTTTTAAGAATGTCTCTTAATTTGTCTTTGTTCGGTGTGCCCTTTTGGTTAGATTCAGATTATGCATTTTTGGGACAAATTTGACTATAGCATTTCTCAGTGCATTATTTCATGAGGACCAGGTGTTTCTCTGTCCCATCATGGGTGACAGGATTCAGCCACTTAAGGTGGTTTTATGCCAGGTTTCTTCACTGAAAAGTTACTATTTTTGCCTTGGTAACAAGTAGATTTCTTGTGGAGAGATATTTTGAGTTTGTATTTCTTCTGTTACTATCATACTTTTTGCTGTGTTGTTTTAGCATCCATTATTAATTCTCGCCCACAACAAGTTATAAGGGCAATTGTGATTGTTAAATGGTAACTTTTTCAAATGTCATCATTTGTCTTCATTTCTTATTTGGAATTTGTAAGGAAGAGCCCTTTGTTTCTTCCTGTCACTACCATAGTGAATCTAGATTTCTTTTCCACTTAAAATTATTTGTTTCTTCCATGAGCAAGAGTCATAGAGAGAGAGGTACAGAGAGCATCCCCAACAGGGTCTTGAGACTGCTGTGATCCACTGCCAGCCTCAGCTAGTTCTGGATCATGGGCATGTGAATGCCTGGCGTACTCTCCGGATGTAAACTTGGAACCTTCCCTTATAGGTCAGCCTTGCAGATTGTAGCATTTACTACTGAGCCACTGTTTCTCCTTGCCTTTAAATTTTTAATAAATTATATCAGGTATTACTTAGCTTTTGTATGGCATTAACATATATATTTGTATTCTTATCTATGTCATAAGAAAGGGAATAATTTAAAATGGTAGTATTTTGGAATCTATTTTAAGTTGGATTTGGTGTATCATTTCCTTCTTTTTAAAAAGCAAATATATATTGTATTTTTAAACAAGTTAGGCTGATTTTTTAGTTTTTATTACATTTAGTCACTACATCTTTATAGCATACAAAATGAATTTTCCTAGCATGGATATTGTATGTTAGTCCAGTCACAGATATTGCTAAGCACATTATCATCAACAGATAATTTTACGTTTTAGTGTCCATTAACTATTTTGTGCCTTTTTTTCCTCTTTGATTCCCTTCAAACCCCCACCTCTATTACCCACTCTCCTTTCACACTGTTTTTTGTATCCATATTTGCTCTCCATGCCTTTTTACCTCCCAATCTTTTAGTTTCTGCTATAGATTGCAAACATTTGGTTTATATTAAGAGGGGACATATGGCGCCTATCTTTTATAGTTGACTTGCTTCACTCAGCATTAAATCTTCCATATTCATCCACTTTCTATCAAATTCTAGGATCTCATTTTTTTTATGGCTGAGTAATATTCCATAGTGTATATGTGCCTCATTTTTTCAATCCATTTATCTCTTCTTGGACATCTGGTTGATTTGGTGTCTTAGTAATTGTGAATTATGATGCAATAAACATGGATATTCAAGTGTTTTTCCAGCTGAGTGTATTCTTACTCTTTGGGTAAATACCAAGGAGTGGAATTGCTGGGTCTTATGTAGTTCTATTTGTAAGTTTTTTCAGGAACCTCCATATTGTTCTCCACAGTGTCTGTATTGTATAGGAAGGTTCCTTTTCACCGCAGCCTCACCAGCCTTTATTATTCTTTATTTTTTTAATCTTAGCCATTGTGACTGAGGTTAGGTAGTATTTATTGTGGTTACAAATACAGTACATATATATATTTTAAGGTTATTTATTTATTCCACGAGTGAGAGAGACATACAGACTCTTGTCTTGATGCCTTGATCTGTCCCTAGCTTCAGCCAGCCTGGATCATGGGTGTACATGTGCCTAGCATATTTAGGGAGGTCTGGGCTCTAACTGGCTATCTTCTCAAATGGGTCTGCCTTGCAGGGTGTCAGGTTTTACCACTACATCACTGTTTGGTCCCATATTTGCTCCTTTAAAATACTACCATTTGTGGGGCTGGCAGGTGGCATGGTGGTTAAAGCCACAGAACTCCCACATGGTCGACTGTGGTTCAAGTCCTGGACCTGATGGCTTGGTTTCTCACTTTCTCTCTCTATCTCTTACTCTCTCATTCTGTCCCTCTCTGGTCAAATTAAAAGATAAAAAAGTAAATAAAGTTAAATAAAATAATTTAAAAGAAGACTTTAAAAAAATACTACCATTTTGCCCAGAACATGCCTAGTAATGGATGGCACAGAGTAGAGGATTAGTAATTGGCAGGAAAAGAAACTTGCCTAAAATTGACATTAACTGCAAAGAATGTGCATATATATGATATAAAACAATCTACCTTCATTTCAAACCTGAGTGGAATCTGAGGTTTTACAGAATAATAGATCATCATTGTCCTTATTATTTAGAAGGCTTTGTCTTCTGTGAAAAGTACTCAGATTGTGACAGGAATGTATATATAATTTATACCACAAATAAGCCCTGGATCTTGAATATGTTTAGAAAAGTATCTTTTACATTTAGGCATCAGATTACTTTCTGTCTTAAGTTATAACCAGTACACATGTGAGTTTTAAAAATAAAAACAATTTGTTCAGTTTTTGTTTTTTCTTTTTAATTGCTAGAAGGGATGTGCACTTGCCAGAGAGGGACAGAGAGACAAAGAGGAGAAAGTACCCATCAATGGGATGTGGTCATGCTGCAATCCCTTCTCCTGTTTTGGATCTTGGGCTTGAAAAGGGTATTAAGTTGATGTTTTCTTTGGTTTCCGAAAATGAGCCTAAAACAACAAAGAGCGGGAGAAATGAAAATACAAACCCTATATTCCACTAAAGTAGAAGAGAGCTACAATGCTAACCCACAAAATAGATGGTGTTGCTGCCAAGGGCAGTAGAGATGATGGAGGCTGCATGTGGGAAGATGTAGAGAGGATGTCACAGCTGCAGAGCTCAGAGCCAGCAAGAAGCGCTTCTTGAGAGTGAGAAGACCCACGAGGTACACACCGAGAGCCCTTGTTTACAGAAGCAAAAAAGGGTTTCATTAGCTAATAGCAGGAGCTTTGCATCCCGTGTGATTCTTAGCAGTTGGGGAGATAGGAAGCTAAACAGAGTCACAGAAAACAAGTAAATCAAAACTTTTTTTTTTTTTTTTTTGGTAGGTATATGTAAAAGTAGAGGAGCAGGTTACTCTGACTTTGCATTGTTCAAATAACTCCAACATTACCTAATCTCCATAAGTTGTTGAGAAGTGAAATACTAAACTATCTCTTGTGTAAAACCCTGAATCAAGAAAAACTTCGTCAGGGGACCAGCAGATAGCATAATGGTTACGTTGCTGGACTCCCACGTGGCCAATCACGGTTTGAGTCCCAGACCTGGAAGCTTGAAATTCTTGATAGGTGCGTGCCCAAGATCCCGAGATGAGAATGGAGGAGAAGGGATTGAGGCGTGGTCATTCCACTGAGGGGTGATTTCTTGCTTTCTGACTCTTTGTCTCTCTGGCAAACACACATGCCCTATAGCAAAAAATCTCTCTTAAAAAAATAACAAAAAGCTTCATCAGTCTATAATCTGATCTCCTGCAGTTAGCTAGTCCAGGAAACCTCACCTCCTTCAAAAATGAATAATCAAAAGGAATTCAGGGGAACCAGCAGTTAGCATAATGGCTATGTCACTGGATTTCCACGTAGTTGACTGTGGTTCGCGTCCTGGACCCGGTGGCTTAAAACTTACACTGGGCGCACGTGCATGCATGCCCAAGATCCCAAGAGGAGAAGGGATTGCGGCATGACCATCCCCCCTGGGGGGTGATTTCTCACTTTCTGTCTCTATGTCT